CAGTATAAACAGTATTACCATAATTCAGAATCAGAATGCCTTTATTGTCATTATACGCAGTACAATGAAATTAAGAGATTAAGAATTAAACTGTTTACTCATTTGGAATTACTTTTAAAAATAAAATCAGTTTAGGCTATTACAGATATTAAAGTTGCTAAAGCATCATTGCATCAACAGTGCAACACGTTAAACTTTTAGATTAAATTTTTTCAGAAAACCAAACTGAGGACTGTATTTCCACAGCTCACTTTCACAGCAAAATTAAACAGGTTAATTTAAATTACTACCTGATTTTAAACTAATTTGACTGGATAAAATGTGCTGAACTGAGGCTGGCAAAGTGAAGCTGCCAGAAACTAATTTAAAATCTGATCTGTATCGTGTAAAAACAAAAAGCTCTTATTATCTTAATTGTCGTGCATTTAACACTTGTTATTGTTTTTGTTAAAACATGACGTCTCCCTAATTATCTTGTCTTATATCAGGGCATCTCATCCTTTTATTCATTTATTCATTCATTTGTGTATTTTCTGTTGATGAATGGGGAAAAAGCAGAAATAAAAATTTGTCCACCAGAGGGCGCTCATCAACCTTAATCACCGGATTGATCGGTTCCTAAATTTTTTCACAGAAATCAAATATGTCTAACTCCTAGTTGTTTGTTAGTTTGCGTGCTTGTTTGTATCTTGTTGCTTAAGGTAACAATAATAACACAATGCACAATGAGGTCAAATCAACATATTAAATAAGAGCAAATAATGGGGGAAGAATACTTGTAAAATATATAAATTAGTAAGAAAATCCAAGAAGGTTGAGTCAGGTCCTCTGGATGGATTCTTCTTTGTTGAACCGTTTCGTCTTTTATCCAAAAGACTTCTTCAGTCTGAGGAACAGCAAAAAAACAACAACTTATAAGCAGCACCTTCTCATAGTGGCTCAGTCAACCAGTATGTTGTTGGTCAAAAAGTTGGGACAGTGTTGGAAAATACTTTTCTATCACTTCAAACTGTAAAAACTCGACATATTCAATATTTTGTTCCATCAATCTAAGTTGGCGTAATGATCCACAGTCAGTCCTGTCATGATTGGGAGAAAAGATTCTGGAGGCGACTGTAGCTGAGTGGTTAGAGCACCCTCCAATGGGAGAGCTGGGGGTTTGATTCCACCAGTAGTCACATGCCGAAGTGTCCCTGGGCAAGACACTGAACACTTCATTGCCTCTGATGTGTGTCCCATTGGTGTATAAATGTGATAAAGCATTGATTAGTCTTTGTAGCGATCGAGTAGAGTGCTGTATGAATGGGTAATGAGGCACAAATTGTAGTGTAAAGTACTTTGAGTATCTTGATAAGATAGAAAGGCGCTATATAAGTACAGTCCATTTACCATTTAATTAAAAGACAATCCTTCCAGGAGCGAAGATGAGCAAAAAAAAAAAATCTGTGGTTTGTCAATAAATGTATGAGCGTTAAGTGAATTGATTATTTTTCATTCCTGTTCAAGATACCCCAAAACAGTTGATGCAAATTTTCATAAGTAAAACCTAAACTGGACTCCTGTAATCCCACTGTCACACATTTATAACACAGTTTACCACAAGAGCCATGTGAGAAACTTTTAAAAGCTGTCAAATTCACAAATATTTAAAGCTTTACATGTCATGTTAAATTTGTGCAGAGGGGTCAGTGACATCGGCAACTGTTTGTTTTTTCTCTCTCATGGTTTTCAGCATTTTTGCAATAAAATTAACGTCAGTGTGAGAATTATATCACTTTTTATTTTACCCCCCATTTGCATCGTAATGCTGGCTCGATATATGGAGTGGCACAAACACTTTCACATGGATTACTTCCAGTGGGGAAAAAAAAAAGTGTTTTCATTGTTGCTTTTACACAATCTGCTTTCATCTCACAAACACCACCCGTGTTGTGTCTTTTTGTCACAGAAGTCTTTCACTTTCAGTTTCTCCTAAATTCTAAAGCCACTGGCAAAAAATGTTAAACCTTGACAAAAACCTGTTTATTTCATTTGCAACATAGAAAAG